TGGTGGATTCGTGCCCTGGGGAGCCGCAGGCGTGGGCAAGACGATGACAGCCAGGAAGATCATGCTGGACTGGGCATCCGACAAGATGTTTGCGGAGTTTGACTATGTCTTCTACATCCACTGCCGGGAGGGCAACCTCCTCACCAGCCAGGCCAGCATGGTCGACCTCATCACCTGGTGCTGTCCCAGCAGCTCTCCGCCGGTCAGGAAGATGCTGAAGCAGCCAGAGAGGCTCCTGTTCTTGATCGATGGCTTCGACGAGCTCCGCTTTTCCTTCGATCGGCCCCAGTCCGAGCTGTGCTCCAATCCCCAGGAGCAGAGGACGGTGGAAATCACCCTGAGCAGCCTCTTCCGCAGGAAGCTGCTGCCTGAGAGCTCCCTGCTCATCACCACAAGGCCGGCCGCCCTGCAGAAACTGGGCAAGTGCCTGGAGTGCGAGCGCTACGCCGAAATCCTGGGGTTTTTGGAGGCGGAGAGGAAGGAGTATTTCCACAAGTTTTTTGAAAACGCGGAGCAGGCGGCTATCGCCTTTCAGTTCGTCAGAGGGAATTCCGCAGGAAGCTGCTGCCTGAGAGCTCCCTGCTCATCACCACAAGGCCGGCCGCCCTGCAGAAACTGGGCAAGTGCCTGGAGTGCGAGCGCTACGCCGAAATCCTGGGGTTTTTGGAGGCGGAGAGGAAGGAGTATTTCCACAAGTTTTTTGAAAACGCGGAGCAGGCGGCTATCGCCTTTCAGTTCGTCAGAGGGAACGAGAACTGCACCGTTATGAAGCAGCAGCTCGGCCGCACCGGGGGTCTCACCCAAAGCCCGAAGACGACGACAGGGATCTACATCCTCTACCTTTCCGCCCTGCTCCGGTCGCTGAGCGGTGAGCAGAAGCAGGGCATGCCGGGGGTGCTCAGGAGGCTGTGCTGCCTGGCGGCCAACGGCATCTGGAAGCAGAAGGTCCTCTTCGAGGAGAAGGAGGTGCAGGGGTATGCGCTGGACCAGCGAGCCCTCCCGCTCCTCCTCAACGAGCACCTCTTCCAGAAGGACATCTCCTGCGTCAGCACCTACAGCTTCATCCACCTCAGCTTCCAGGAGTTTTTTGCGGCGCTTTTCTACCTGCTGGAAGATGAAGGGGAGGTGCAGGAATCCCCCACCAGTCCCACCAGGGACGTGAAGGAGCTGCTGGAGAGCTACGGCAACTCCAAGAACTACTTCATGCTAACTGTGCGGTTCCTCTTCGGGCTCTTAAACGAGGAACGCAGGAGGGAGCTGGAGGAGGAGATGGGGTGTAAAATCGCACCCAGGGTTACGCAGGAATTATTGGCATGGCTTCAAACCAGCCAGAAAACGTCCCTAGCTCTTCTGACGCAGGAGACAGCGGTGATTTCTGAGCTGGAGGTCTGCCACTGCCTGTACGAGCTCCAGGATGAACATTTTGTAGCCACCACCCTGGATACTTTCACAGGGGTCTACCTACGAGGGCTCAACCTTAACCGCTTCGATCAAATGGTCCTTTCCTTCAGCATAAAAAACTTCCCCAAGCTGGAGTCACTTGACCTGGGGCACTGCTCCTTTCTGTGGGACGACCTCGAGGACTGCGCGGGCCCGCAGCCCGCGTATCGGTGCGTAAGGTCCCGAGCTGCAAAGCGGCGAATGCCTGAAAGCCCAAAGAGCTGTGATGACCCCGCAGAGGAGCCCACGGCAAGGCTGGTCCTCCCGCCACGCTGGGCACATCGGCGAGGGGGTACAGCTGTGACCCGGCGGCCAAGGAGCAATGTTGGAATGGGGATAGAAATGGGAATAGATTAGGACTAGGAATGGGAATAGGCTGGAATAGAATAGAATAGAATAGAATAGAATAGAATAGAATAGAATAGAATAGAATAGAATAGAATAGAATAGAATAGAATAGAATAGAATAGAAAACAGAACAGGAAAAGAATAGGATAGGAACCAGGGTAGGAAACAGGGTAGGAACAAGGATAGGAACAAGGATAGGATAGCAATGGGAATAGAATAGAATAGGAAAGGAGTAGACCAGGATAGGAATAGAATAGGAGTAGTAGGAACAGGAATAAGATGCGTCTCCTCTTTATTTTCAGGGAAAAACAGCAAAAGGAGGAGAAGCAGTCACCCATCCACCTGCTTTGTCAAGCCTTGGAAAAATCAGGCTGTAAATTAAAGATGTTAAGGTACATTGCTCTTCTCTGCCGGG